ATATATATATATATATATATATATATATATATATATGGATATAATATATGGATTTTGGACAAAATGTTTAAAATTATTGTTTTGATAATATAATGTCCGAAACGTCCGACGTTGACATTATATTAACATTAAAACAGCATAATTGCATATTAGGTTTTTGTTTGTTTTTTCCGCATATTTTCTTCATATATATATATATATATATATATATATATATATATATATATAGCGTGAAAAGTAAAATTGTCAAATGGTGGGTAATGGCTATGACACAAAATGTTTAACATCTAAAAAAAAAAATACACAAAATTAATTGATTTTCTTTTTTCCAGGTTTTCAGATAAGACATTTAGCCATCTTGTTACAATTTGTTGTAAGAATCTCTGAAAAAGCCCTTTTGTGTTATTCAGCTAAAATAGACCAGGTTAAAATCGTTTTGTGTCAGACCTACTGTCTTTCCAAGTGAACAATGGTCATTCATTCTTGGTAAACATTGATACTCTGGCTTCCATCTTTAAATTCCAGTCAAGAACCATCCATTATTCATGAATCTGACTTATGTCTATCTCATACATTGAAGCCCACTTATACACTTACATGAATTAACGTTACCATCCTACATACACCTAAACACACAAGCATTTCTTTACATACATATTCTTGAACTATCACAAATTTTAACGTTTAAAATGTTCCTCACATATATTTATATATTATCGATTGCGTTTATATACGTGACACGTATCTGACCAAGAAGAGTTAACAAAAAAAAAACAAAAAAACTTAAGATATTTGTTTTCTGTCTCTTTGATTTTTACATTTCGATCTCAATCTCTGACGAAGGTTTTTAATAAAAATGGAAAAACATGAAAGATTGAGATACGTTTCCTATTTGTCTTTTATTTTATTTTATCGTACATATGATATCATATTTATCATATATTTGAGTTCTCTGAGTGACTGGTGTGTTTATGAAAAAAGATAAATACGCAAAAATACGCCTTTCTCTCGGTCCTGGCCTGAAGCGAGTGGATATCTAGCCACACTGATGAGCAGTGATACAGCGAAACAGTCTGTCTGTTGTTGACTACAAACACACACACACACACACACACACACATATATATATATATATATATATATATATATATATATATATATATATATATATGGCACCAGAGGTGGTGTAATGGTTAGCACTGGGTGCCCTTACTTTCGACCTTGTGCTACAAAATCCAAATCATTATATATGCATATGTGTGTATAGATAGATAGATTACATCTATTTTATTAACGCCACCACTCAATGCGCGACATCTTATATATATATATATATATATATATATATATATATATATATATATATATATATATATATATAATATATATATATAGATATACAAAGAAGGATGTTATATGATTAAAAAACAGCACAATGTAAAGCTTTATTTAAATGCTGCATTTAATTAAATACTTGGTATTTAACTGACATACCAAAAAATATTAATTTCTGCCTCGTATTGGATTAGGTTTATATTCTCATGAAGTCTTATAAATGCTCTAGAGTCTAAAATTGAAAACTTCCGGCCTCTACCGGAAATGAGTGTTGTTGTTTTGAGTCAGCCTTGGTTGCAGGCCACAGGAAGTTGCTTCATCGTCCGTGTGTGGCCCGCGGATTGCTTGTTTAAACGTACTGCTCTTTATCTTTCTATAGAGTTTCAAAAAATTTCACGAGAAAAAAATGCTGGCTGGGTGGGTGAAGCTACGATAAAATTTACGTCATTTAGTAAAAAATGTTGCTCAATGTTTGGAAAAGCTATCTAATAATTGTTGCAAGAGAAATTGTGAGCTCGGATATAATTTACCGGAGTCTATTCACGCTGAAATTTTTTTTTCGAAAAATTATTTAACTTCGACATCGTTAACCCTAAGCAGAGGCTAAATTTTTCTTTTAATGTCGGGTTTTGATTTTTTTTTTTTCCTTGAGCACACCATTTATCTAATACAAAGATTTGATTATGACACATTGGAAACGGTTGGATATGTAGAAAATTGCAATTATCAGATACTGGATAAAGCCCCCAGACAAATATGCAGAAAAACTGTAAGCTCGGAATTAAATTTTTCAAACTGGTATCCCTATAAGCCATAATTCCAGAATTGGATTCCTGATTATCATATATTCAAAGTCAATATCCAGAAATCCGTAAAATGCATGGATGGATATATATATATATATATATATATATATATATATATATATATATATATATATATATAAACTTTAAGCCCGATTTTTTATTATTGCATAATCAAAAAAAAAAATTTGTTATTATATAATTAAAAAGCAATATCCGTAAAAATACAATGATATCCCTGTTGCCTATTACAAGACCTTAGATCTGTGAAACCGATTTTTTTTATTATTATAGAATCAAAGACAATATCCAAAAATGCGTAAAGTACATCGATAATCGAGCTGCCTATCACAAGATCTTATATCTGGGAGCACGGAATTTTTTTTATTGTTATATAATGAAAGACAATATCCAAAAAATGTGCGATATCTTTTAAAAATTCGCTTGAGGATGAAACTCAATTTAATTTTAATAATTATATTGAGGTTTTCGGCTCTCGTTTTTGAAACATGAGAACTCTTATGTAGCGAAGGAATCATATTTTTGTAAAAATAATTATAATTTAAGCTCTACTTTTGTATGGAGCACTGTTTTTTTAAAAATAAAAACAAAAATACTAAAGAACCCCGGATTATTTGCTTAACGTGTTCTTTCCTATTTTTCTACATATCTACACATTATATACACACACACACACACACACACACACATATATATATATATATATATATATATATATATATATATATATACACGTCGGTATGAAAAGGTCCCAAACGATTTAACCAGTCAGAGGAGAAAGTTTTCTTGTCCATTATTAGCTACTGTCAAGAAAACGACTGCAACCCCAAATTAAAATAAAATAAAAAAAGGCATTGCTTACTTATTTGGTAGAAATCAGATGCATTAATTGGATATGAAAGAAAATTTGTTTGCAATTACTTTTCAATGAAAGAAAAACAAACTGTAAAACTTATATTTTGATTCCTTATCATTCAAATAGTTTAACTTATAGGATTCTTGTCTGGGAGATAGATAGATAGATAGATAGATAGATAGATAGATAGATATGAACAGATTGAGATAAATACATGCAGATATAAACAAAGATAGATAGATAGATAGATAGATAGATAGATAGATAGATAGATAGATAGATAGATAGATAGATAGATATGACCAGACTGAGCGAGGGAGATAAATATGTGACCGAGGGAGATAAATAAGTAACTGAGAAAGAAAGAAAGAAAGAAAGAAAGAAAGAAAGAAAGAAAGAAAGAAAGAAAGAAGTGGAGGAGTAATAGATAGCGGCTTGGATTGAGGAATCAGAGAGCCGAGTTCGAATTCCAGTCTAATCCATTACATTCACTTTCGTGTTAATACCCTTGGGGAAGGTATGAATCCTCTTCTTCTCCCTCCAGCTATCGGTAAATAGCAGGATAGACTGGGTTCTATAGCCTTGGATGGCAACTGGTCTAGGAGAAGGAAAAACTCTGACTTCAAAACCTGCGGAGGGTCGTTTGGGGACCCTGTGGCACGTAGTGCACCAGGTCACTGTAATCGGCCCTTCAAAAAGTGTGGATGGTCCTCCACGAAACCTTCACCACTATAATCAAATCTCATGTGCTATACATGCGGGGTTGGGGACTGTTTGTGAATTCCAAATTCCCATGAAATTTCAATATTGGAGCCGGCTCAACCCACCCCGGGTGAATGCCGTTACAAGAACAAGAGAACAAGAAGATAGATATGAACAGAATAAGTGAGTGAGATAAATATATGAAGTAACTGAGATAGATAGATATGTCCATTTTTACGTTAAATTTTTTCCTATTATTATTAAAGAAGTATTGAATTTTGTGTATTTTAAAACCGATGTAATGATTCCATAATGTTTTGAAATTTTTTCAAATACTTCTTTTCTGAAGAATTTATTAATTTCTTGGTATATAATTTGTATATCTTCCTTTTTCTATGAGTTTCTGTCAACAAGTGATAAATTTTATAGTAGTTTCACTTTGAAAACCAATGTCACATTAGCATTATTTATATTTTTTTAATTTAAAATGTCGTTGAATGATAATTAAAACAATAGAATTCCTTGAATAATATTTTTGTTTAAGAAAATCGAAATCAGATTCCAAAATTCGACTTCGAAAAAAAAAATGACGCCGCGTCCATTTTGAAATTTCGTAAAAATAAATAGAATCAAATAAAACAAGAAACCATTTTCTTTCTAATAATCCACTTTTTTTTTTACATTTCGACTTTTTAAAAATCCGTCTGATTAGTTCATTTATTTATTCAAACACATTTTAAAATCAATCGGTGTTATTTTGGTAGAATCATGTTGAATGCCGTCCAAAAAAAAAAAAAAAAAAAAAAAAAAAAAATCAATATTTCAACTGGGTGAAAACTCCGACATTTAACGAACTTCTGACAAGGGAAAATGTCTTGGATTATGCTATTGACCAAAATAAATAAGGTATTCTTTTGAGTTTGGCATTTATAAAATTAGAATACGGTAAAATCATGTTCTGTTATATTAAAAAGAATGTAAAAAAATGGTGGCCTGACAGGACTTGAAATTGAAATGTCAGGAGGAATGCAAATATCTGCTTGAGGTTATGATTGTATATGAATCAATAATTAACATTGATCAATGATCCCAGTGACGATGACAATGATCACGACGATGATCTGCACAGTTAAAAGCATCGTTTTGTTTATTTAATACTACTACTAATACTACTATTAATATTATTATTATTATTATTACTACTACTACTATTACTGCTACTACTAATAATAATAATAGAAAGAGAAATATGAAGAGAGAACGATGTTATAAAAAGAACAATCTTAGGAGCAAAAACAAAGAAAGAATGAAAGAAAGAAAAAGAAAGAATGAATGAATAAATGAATGAATGAAAGAAAGAAAAAGAAAGAATGAATGAATAAATGAATGAAAGAAAGGAAGAAAGAAATAATGAAGGAAGGAAAGAGAGAACGAAAGAAAAAGAAAGAAAGAAAGAAAGAAAGAATGAATGAATGAATGATAGAACGAAAGAAAAAGAAAGAATGAATGAATAAATGAATGGAAGAAAGGAAGAAAGGATGAATGAAAGAAAAAAGAAAGAAGGAAAGAAAGAAAGAACGAAAGAAAAAAGAAAGAATGAATGAAAGAAATAACGGAAGAAAAAAAAAAGGAACAAAGAATGAATGAAGGAATGAATGAATGAAAGAAAGAAAGAACGAAAGAAAAAAAAAAAGAATGGATGAATAAATGAATGAAAGAAAGGAAGGACGAAAGAAAAACTCCCAGGGCGTATATATCCACAATGAAGGAAACAGGAAGTACAATAATAATAATAATAATAATAATAATAATAATAAGAAGAAGAAGAAGAAGAAGAAGAAGAGGAGGAGGAGAAAGAAAGAAAGAAAGAAAGAGAAAGAAAGAAAAGTTAAAGATATTATGTAGATGATAATATTATCACTGCTACTACTAATAAATCCACGACCACTACTAATTAACATAATAATAAAAATAATAATAATAATAATAATGATGATAATAATAATAATAATGATAATTATTATTATTATTATTATTATTAATATTATTATACCTGTTCCTTAGTAAATTATTTTCCTACTACTAATTAAAATAATAATTATTATTATTTTAATTATTAGTAGTAGTAAACTAATATACTAAGGAACAAGCATAATAATAATAATAATTATTATTATTATTATGCTTGTGCCTTAGTTACTTACTTCGTTTATTACGCCTTACTAATACATTATAGATAATGAGCTATTTCGTTTTGTTCGTGAGGAAAGAAATATCAGAGACGGAGTTTGGTTTCTGTAAAAGAAAGAAAGAAAGAAAGAAAGAAAGAAAGAATGGAAGATCGAGGAGGCGATAACGCTCTCATGTGTTTAACGTCTGCTTCAGTGAAATGCAAATCCTTGTCTCTTAATTCTTTTAAATAATGCCCGGCATTCATATTTATGAGGTTCATTTCAATCTTTTGTCAAAATATTTGACAATGTAATAAACGGAATTCCATGAGTATTTTATAGTCATGGAACTCGTAAGGAGTAGATTTAATCATTAAATATTGATACATTTGAAAATTAAAATGTAATTTTAAAGGATACTAAAAGTTACAGAACGAAGAATATAAAACATAAAAATAACAATATAAAATTAAGAATGTTTAAATTACACCCTTGTGCAAATTAATTGAAACAAAACGAATAATTCCGTTATTATTTAGTCTTTTTCGTATTTTCCAGTAAAAACATGACGCAGTAAACATGTTAATACTTCATATGTCCATTCCACGAAGTTGTTCCTTGCAGATTGACCACAGATTCTCGATTGGATTTAAACCAGGAGAGTTTTCAAGCCAGCCTCTAGTACTTTGATTTATTCACTGATAAGGTTGCCAGTGTGTTCGTGCAGCATTACAATTTTCGTACGCTTCCTTGTATTAACGTCCATCGCAGACAAATGGCGTAGGACAACTAATCGACAGTCGAGACAATAGTATCTGGATGTGACAAAAATCTGA